TTTGAAAGCCGATACGCTACGTATGATCCCTGTCACATATTCAGGATCTTCTCACGACGTCCTCCCGACCGGTTCCCAATCAAGTAGGTCGGGAAGCAGTCTGGAATCCATCTTATTGTAGATCAGGCTTACTCCTCTGATCGCATCTAACCAGAATATGACTATCCGACTGAAATTTATGGTCGGGTCACACAGAAGACGTTTTAAAGACTAGTAGCCAACCTCGCCGACCGACTCCCAACCACAGATGGTCTTGCTCGCGACTATTCCCCAACCATGGTCATGGAGAGGGTTGGGAGAGGTCGAGAGGCTATGGTCGGATATGTGTAACAGCGGCTTGACGTGTAGAACTAGAGTCTTGCGAGGTACCGCAAGAGTGCTGAGGTCTGTCTTTGGTGCTGAAAGCCTTGTGTACATATATATTTTCAATTAAAATCTCCATGCTAACAAAAGTCAATGCTAACAGCTGTGACTGATCACAATGCAGCTCAAGGTTCTATGCAGCATTCTTAGCTGGCTACTAACGTATTCTGGAGATTCTAGCTTTGAAAAGAAACAATAAACAGAGAGCATGCCGACTGAAAACACAAGAGAAGAGGCTATGCTCACTCAGCAGTTAATATGATTTCTTTTGTTTAATTTTTTTATTTTGCTTTTAGACATTGATATTCAAATTCAGTTTCATTATCATTTATATCATTTGTCATATCTATTTAGTTTGTTTTCTGTAATTTATTAGTCTGTTTTCGTTTCTTTTATCACAACTACCTTTTGATTGTACTGAAGTTACATTTTATTATGTTATGTTATGTATGACCGTACTTGTAGGCTCTATCAACAAATAACAGTGAAGTGCGGACACAATTTTCAGTTCATAACGTACACGTTCCACCGAGTGCTGAGCAAACAAGGAAGTGCGGGAGCTGCAAGTACATTCGCACGTGGCCGTCCCGAAAATAGGCATGGTCTTGTGTACTCAATGTGGCTGAAGAGGAAAGCACACAAGAGAGTTATGTGAGCTACTTCAGCATAAGGGGGTAAACCGTGGCACACGGTTGACTGTCGGAAATCATTTTACAGAATGACAAGTGGCTCGCTCGGGCACGGTTCTGGATAGTCAACGCGTATCTGGAATCGTGCTTGGGGCGTAATTATAATAACTTCCTTTCTTATTTATATACAAGCCTATCCAGACTCGAGTCTAATCCTAACCCATTCAGGCATATACCTGAAAGGCACGGCTCTGGGTACGATAAACGCCACCTCTTTGGTGTCCATTCTCTGATATCATCCTCCCATGTTTTCTGTTGCCTGCCCCTCTTTCTTCCCCCCAGGACTGTTCCTGGCATGATGGTTTTGACTGGTCCTGCTGACCATTACGCATGGCCATACTACTCCGGTTTTTGTTTTGGTACATTTTCACCTGAGTTGAATTAGGGGGTGTTCGTGTGGAACAATGCTTTATTTGACTGTTTGGATCAGGTAAATATCCGCGACAGAAAGTTTGCCTGCACGCGCGCGCTCTTCGTGAGTGATATATGGACGTCGCTGTCAGATGACGCAAACCGGAAAGTGTGATTCCGCGGGAGTTAGGCTGAGTTATGTCAGCGCGGCGCCGGACAAAACCTGCGGCAGCTGATTTCCACATATAGCGTAAACCCGGGTATTACAGAGTCTCTGCTCATGTCAGCCCTACCAAATATATCCAGTCAGAACAGATGGCGATGGGCGATACCAAAAATACCTCCCGGGGGGTCCTGCGCAGCATCAGGGGACAACATCAAAGGGGTGGGTGGTAGGCCCTCTGACGTCAGACGGCACGTTTTGCGTCAGTGTCGTGAATGAGTGTTGATCCTTCGCGGGGAGATGGGAGCATTCAAAACCGTTTGTCTTGTCTTTGTGTTATCTCTTGTTGGAGTTTTTAAATGTGTGTTTCTTCGTCTCTCTCTTTCTCTCTCTCCATGTGTGTGTGTGTGTGTGTGTATGTGTGTGTGTGTGTGTGTGTGTGTGTGTGTGTGTGTGTGTGTGTGTGTGTGTGTGTGTGTGTGTGTGTGTGTGTGTGTGTGTGTGTGTGTGTGTGTGTGTGTGTGTGTGTGTGTGTGTGTGTGTGTGCGTGTGTATCGGGTCACAAACCATTCCCATCAACCTCCATGTCTGAATGGGTCAGAGTTAGGATGAGGCACGGTTCTGAATAGCCTCTGCGCATCCAAGAACGTACGTAGATGTGCCACGACTCTGGATATGCAGCAGGATAGGTTAGTTGCATGATGAATCGCCGCGAGCCGCACGTGACCTGCCGGGCGATCTTCCCGCCACTCCGGTGAGCGGATCGCGCGTGGTCCCGGCTGATAACGGCACGTCAGCGCGCTCTGACGTCACCGTGACGTCAGCGGGAAGTTCGGCGCACCCCAAGGGTGAGTCCTGGATCGCTGCATCTCTGGAAGACCCAAAATGTCGCGCCCTTGGGAAAGGCACTTTGTGTCTAATTCCTCACTCAACCCAGGTGAAAATGTGCGCCAAGCTTCGTTTGCTAGCGTTTTGGACCAATTTGGTACATCGCAGGTCAACCCTAGTATCGATAAAGTGCACCTTATTGGAAAACGGTGCGAAAGAGTGGATTTTGATGTGCGCTACTTTCTCTACTTCCTTCCGACCACGATTCGCTATGATTGCTCTAACTTTCTTTACACAACTTGTTGAAATCAGCGCCCGAATGTGGGTCGATCAGGCGGGCGGGGAGATGGATGATTACCGGTAGTTACTGTCGTGAATAGACGCGGGGTGTCAACAAGACAGCTGGTCCGTAACATACAAAGGATACCCTTATGTAAAATCACAAAACGGAAACGTTGTTAAAATCAGCGCTAGTGAGCGAAAGAAGTGGGTCGATCAGGCGGGCTGGGAGATAGATGATTACCGGTAGTTACTGCCGTGAATAGACCCGGGGTGTTTGGGGTTTAGCGGGAGATCGCTTTACCTGCGTCACGCGGTTCCGGTGACGTGGGCCCGCTACTATCAGGGGCCGCGTCGTGTCGGCTGGGGAGGAAGGTATCAGAACTTGTGAGAGTGGTTTTTGTTAGGGCTGAGATTTCGGTTCAGCACCAAGGACAGCGATCATCGCTCTTGTTTCACGTCCCATGACACCAGGTGTTGTCTTCGAGCCATAATTTGGGACAATGTGCAGGTACTCGCTTGGCCCTTGGAGCGCGCGCGCGTAGCGTGTTTTGGACCGGAAAGGTAGAAAATATCGGTTCAGCACCAAGGAGAGCGATCAGCTTTCTTATGTTACGTCCCGAGACACCATGTACTATTTCACGGCCACACTTTTTGGGACAAAGTACAGGTATTCGCTTGGCCTTTGGAGCGCGTAGCGTGTTTTGGACCGGAAATGTAGAAAATATCGGTTCAGCTTCAGCACCAAGGAAAAAGCTCAAGACTCTCCTTGTCTCCTTTCATGTGTCCCCTCTCAGCAAGACACAAGAATGCCTCCGTTATGTCCGGAAAGTTTTAAAAGTAACGAAAAAGTTTGAAGTGGTGGTTTTATCGCAGACTACGCTGCACCGACTTGGTGAGAACTGTGTGTTTTTTGTTTTTGGTTAGAAAGGGCTGAGATTCGTTTCAGCACCAAGGACAGCGATTAGCGCTGTTATCACACATCAAATGGTTTATTGGTTTATTTAGATACCCCCACGGGGCTAATCTTCCAGGGCTCAGCGCCGGGTGGTTTCTTAAAACCCCAATTTGGACCGTGGTATATGTCAAATATTCAAATTCCAAACCATGCAGTAGGTTATAAGTAAACTTTAATTCTGATTGTAACTCTATACATGTTCTCTTGCATAAAAATTGATTATGAGCAATATAAACATAATAGCTTTGCATATGTTGATAGGATATTTTAAAGCTTTTGCACATCATTATCATCTAGGTAGAGCAATACTTGATGGTTGATTTTGAATCAAAGTATAAACAAGCATCATGGTAAAAAAAGATAACATTTCCTTTGAGAAAACGTAATTGCTCTAAAAGGAAGACTTGGAGATTATTCTGTTTAACATTTCTTAAAACACTTAATACTACCAAACTACTGCATAGATATTGGCATGGCAAGCAGCTTATTTAATACATGAACATTTCCTATACTGTGAGACCAGCAGACAATTCTGATGATAATGATGAAATCCTTTCCAATGAAGAAAGTTAAGCTAAAATACTGTATGAGAAGGCAACCTGTAATATTATATTTCTTTTTAATAGAAAAAAAATTGTACCAAAAATACGTATTTTTCCTCCATTTCTTTAAAACAAATTTGTTGTAGAGACCATTTCTAGGCACTGAACTAATTTGAGCTAACCTTTGATTAAAAAATGATTAAAAATCGTCAAGAACAAAGACTGATTCTAAATAATATGTAACACTGTATGATAATATACAAATACAGATCTGGATAAAGATTCAATGAGATGTAATTGGAAGAAAAAAATGTGTACATTCTTGGTTACTTTACAACAGTTCTGCTGACTATTGAAACAACTGTCTGTCATGCTGTCAGCTGTAAAATTTTCCTCCATATCGTCTGTGTTGTTGTTGTCCGTTGATGATGTGATGTTTGGAGCAAGATTGCTGTTGACACTGCCGCCTGTCACATTCGTCAGAAAATCTTCAGCTAGGCTGTGACAGAATCAAACTACTGACAAGGATCTAAGGCAGCCTTCTTTGTAACAGGGCAGCAGGATTTTGTACGGCTGTCCCAAAAATGCCTTCAGTTTACAACCGTACGATGATCATGCAAAGAATGTAACCGGGCCCTGTTTGTCCAGATTGAAAGTTGAAGCAGATGTGGTGTATGGTACCTGAAATGTCTGATGATTTCCAAAATCACCAAGCAACTGTTTTTTGGCGTAGTTGAAGCAGATGTCTTCTGTGCAGTGAAATGTTCCTCCATATCTTCGTTTAGGAATGGTCCATTGTTGATTTGATAAGTAGCTTGTTGGAGAAGGAATGTGTCTTACTCACAGTAGTCCTTCTCCTGTATATCCTCAATCTGGACCTGTAGTTCCTTGAAGGTGGGCCTTCTGAGAGGGTCCTGGAGAAAGGAGACATCAAAGCGTAAGCAAGTTAGGAAGAATACTAGTATACTTGGTTGTGTACAGTCAAACCTGCCAAGGAGACCATAAGAAAATCCCAATATCCAGTGTTGTGTACAAATGTAGTGATTTGCCGCCCTCCACTTCTAATGGACCTATCTAATTATTACATCACAGTTTGTTTACCGCAATGAATGCCGGTCAACCGACGTTCATATTGTACAGGGGTTCATAGTGCAGTGTGTGTTTGTGTAGTGTAGCCTTATACAAAGCTTTTAATACAGTACTACTTTCGTCTAATGTCACAACTAAATCACCCATGCGGCATGTAATGCTGTGTCAACAAAACTAGACGCAGCAAAAATCAGACATACCTGACTTTGAAAACTTTGAAATGATCTTTATTCTTTAACTGACCGTTCTAGAATGTTCTTTAGAACAGGTAAACAAACTGTGACGTAATAATGTGATAGGTCCATTACCTTCTCCCAGCACTGTTTCATGATACGGTAGACGGCATGCGGACATCTCTGCGGCCTGTCCAGGTGTTTCCCGTGTGTCACCTGCCTCACCACGTCAGTCGTGTTCAGGTTAGGGTAGGGGGTCTTGCCAAGGGTGAACACCTCCCACATCAGGATGCCTGATGAGAAAAGGGAAGGGCAGGTATGAGCAGGAAAGGCTGATATGTGTTGGATTTTAGAAACTAGTTTCACTCAAACTCACTGAACAGTTGAGCTACTCTTCCACTGGTCTTGACAGAGAAGGCAGACACTATGTACAGTATTTACAGGTCCATTGTGCAAGGAAAATTACCCTAGTTCTTTTTGACAAGCACAATGGACTGTGGACCACAGCTTAACATCCAGTCCTATATTTAGAGACTGTGACCCTTTCTATTAGCAGGATCCAAAGACACTAACAACTGGACTACGCATGTTACAAAAATTAATCTGTGCTATGTAAAAGTTTAGATGAAAAAGAATTAGAGGAATGAAAATTTATTGTCATGAATGTGAAACAAAGAATATGAGGAAATGCTGAGACAAACCTTGCAAGGACTGGAGAATTCAAAGGAAAGCCATAAAAAGCAGCATGAGGAAAATATCAATTATCAGACTATAAAGCAATAGGCATATCTTGTACTAAATCATCTCAAAGATATAATTAGACTACATAGATCACAACACATGCAGTATGCAAAAATAAGTATTTACATAGAAGATTGCTTGATAAGATACTGAAACCCATGATTAGCCCACAGGATTATATGTATAACAAGAAGGTTTACAGTGTATTCAATAATATGTTCATGCTATTTAGTAAGAAGAATTCAGAATTTACTTTGTATTTCTAGTTTGTAGTTTGTTCCAGAAAAGTGAGAGTAATTTAGAAGTGAAAGTCCTTACCAAAAGCCCAGATGTCAGACTTGCTGCTGAAGCGGGAAAACTCGAGGACCTCCGGGGATGCCCATTTGATGGGAAACTTGCTGCCTGTCGAACTGGTGTACTCATCATCCAACACGTACCTGCCATAAACATTTTCATTTAGTGCCTGCTTTAGCAAAAATCCTAAAAATACAAACTTAGAAAACATTCTTTTTTCTCCTACTTAGTATGAAACGCACAAAATTACCATAATAATGACCTAATAAAGTATTCACATTGTCAGGACCTAGATGCTCATTTTGCATTGGCATGGTTGCTGACCAAAGTAAAGACTCACCTGGCCAGACCAAAGTCTGACACTTTCACGATGTTGTGTTCCCCAACCAGACAGTTCCTGGCAGCCTGGAAAAAAAAACATCCAAACAATTCAAACTTAAAACAACATAAGGGAGGACCTGAAATTACATAGCTTCAACCCACAGGACAGAGGCAAATAGTGGGCTGCCATCAAGCCTCAACACACATTCCAAACAATTCAAACTTCAAAACAACATAAGGGAGGACGTTAAATTACAAACTGTCAACCCACAGGATAAGAGGCAAATGGCAGATAGGCTGCCATCAAGCCTCAGCATCAGTGTGCAAGCACGTCTAACACTCCGAAGATCGGAAAAACTGATGCTAAACTGGATAGTGAGTGTGAGTAGGTGTATTATTCTACTACATGTAGATGACATTACATTGTACTTCTACTAAGAATAGGCATTGCTACAGTTTTTTTAATCATGATGCCAGCAAAAAACAACAACCTTGGGGTTGTGTGGAGCAGCAGCAGAGTGCTCGACTCAGAACCAAGAGGTCCCGGGTTCGAGTCCCGACATGCCAACGATCTTGTGCTTTTGAGAAGGGCATTTTACACGACTTTCTCCACTCAACTCAAGTGAATTGTCTGTCCTGCATTTGTGTGGGATACAACACCAGCAACAGCTGCCTGTGTCCCATAATTATTGTGTATTGCACTGTTGCAATTTCAATAAATCAAGTCAAATCAAAAACTTTTAAGGTAAATGGATAAAGACTTTACCAGGTCTCTGTGGATGAACTTGTTTCTCTCCAGATACTCCATTCCGCAGCACACCTGGTGGCACATGTCTACCAGCGGGCTCCTGTCTTCAGCTAGCTCACGGCCCTTACTGCGCAGGTAGCTGGACAGGTTACCTGGAACAACAGGTGAACAACATACAGGTGAACAGGTAAGCATGTAACACAGGTGAACAGGTAAAACAGGTGTACATGGAACACCTGGTGGCATGTCGACTAGCGGGCTCCTGTCATCGGCTAGCTCACGGCCCTTACTCCGCAGGTAGCTGGACAGGTTACCTGGAATTACAGATGAACAACGTACAGGTAAGCATGTCACACAGGTGAACAGGTGAGAATGTAACACAGGTGAGCAGCTAACACCTGGTGACACATGTCTACTAGCGGGCTCCTGTCGTCGGCTAGCTCACGGCCCTTACTCCTCAGGTAGCTGGACAGGTTACCTGGAACAACAGGTGAACAGGTGAGTAAGTAACACCTGTCCAGGTAGTTGGACAGGTTATCTAGAATCACAGGTGATTGCCACACCTAGTAACACCTATTCTTTACTGCACAGGTAGATACATGTAGGCTACCTGGAACAAGACTTGTCACAGGCTGCAATCCATGTTGTCCTGCTCAGCTTGACAATCTGTACCAATTGTTCTTGAAAAAACTTCCTTCGTTCTCTAGGATGATTATACTATTTCACACAAGATCATGTTTAAAAAAAATATTGAAGAATACTGACCATTGCACATGTACTCAGTGACGATCTGGATGGGCCTGTCTTTGAAACTGACTCCGTAGAGCTGGACCAGGTTTGGGTGCTGCAGCTTCCTGTAACCGTTTACAACAGACTTTGAAAAACTGGTGCTGTGTATGATCTTTGACCTGCCATTCTGCCTTGTAAACTTTAAATTGTTTTAAAATACACCTGTTTTGCCCTGCTTCGGGGTGTTCCGTAGAATAAAGAAGGAAAAAAAAAGGAGTACAGAGATTCTTTTGTATTCCAGACCAAATTGATTTCTAGTATTAAAAAACGTTTGTTTATCTAGAACAATGTCCCTCTGACGAAGACATGTAGTTCATACTCAAACACATTCACATATGACAGGAGTCTAAATCCCTCCTGGTATAAAATTGCAACATGAAATTGTAACCCAACACCAGTTACCATGGTGACAGACGTCTGGTTCAGGTCATTGACCTTTTTTGTTTGGAGAAGTACTACTAGCCGACTGCTGCCGACCCCTGTGGCAGTGACAACAGCTGCAGCAGTATAATCTAATCCTGGATAGTGAGTGTGAGTGAGAAGAAAAAGAAGAAACAGAGCAAAAGCAATATGTTTTCCTTCTGCAATGGTAAATGTAAACAACAATAAACAGCATGACTTACGTCATGGTTTTCGCCTCCTGGATGAAGTCATCCTCACACATGCTGCCCTCCCGCATGGTCTTCACAGCCACCAGCGTCCGGCCCTGTAACTTCCCGAGCCGCACAACTCCGAACTGTCCACTGCCCAGGGGCTTCATCAGGGTCAGCTCTGTGGACTGGATCTCCCACTTGTCTGGAATCAATACATTAATATATCAATACATTGATTGATCAATCCATTGATCAATCAATCATTCAACAATCGTTCCTGAGTCTCACAACGCCGAACTGCCCGCTGCCGAGGGGCTTGATTAAGGTCAGCTCTGTGGACGAGATCTCCCACTTATCTGGAATCAATATATCAATAAATCAATATATCAAACAATCAATAAATCAATAAATTACTTAATCAATTAATTAATTAATCAATCAATCAAGTCTCACCACGCCAAACTTTCCACTGCCGAGCAGCTTCATCAGAGTCAAGCAAAATCCATAACATCTATTTGAATCATATTTTACACTAGACATAAAAATAGACATCCAAGTCTGACCTTGACTGAATCCCAAGGTCACAGGTGCGTATCCTGTAAGGGCTGCTGGTGGGGACCGTAACCTCGTCACAAGACCTGGAAAAAAAACAGAAAACAGCAATAAACTTCAAAAGGTGATAGTCTTTAAAGTTACAGAGAATTATGAACTCCTAACTGAGTGATACCCTATTATAGCGGAATCGTGCGATGTGAACAATTCAACTTCCAATATATTGAGTTACATATTTCCTCACTCTGCTCAGGTGAAAATGAGTAGTTCCTAGATTAGGGACATTCTCTTGGATGGGACGTAAAGTGAGAGGTTCCGTGTTTGAGCCACATCTCGAGCACATCAAAGATCCTACTGCACTTATCAAAAAGAGTAGAGATCCTTCTTTGCTTTGTGTATACAAACTTTCAGTTTTCGGGTTGATATCATGCAAAGGTGATATGTAGTCACCTGTTATGTCAATCCTTCCATAATGTGTTAAATTAAAAGTTATGCTCCATACCTCCCCCGTTGTGTTGATGATAGTGGATGAGTTCAGGAATTGTTGGGAAGGTGTATTTCTCTGACAGGAAATACTTGGAGTCACGAGGGTTCTGCTTAATGTGGTAGTGCCGCACTGTCGTCTGAGGGCTGGTGAAATACAGAAGTTTTTTATCTAAAACAATGGGGTACACTGGCTGAAAACTGTCTTAAAAAATCAAGAAAGGAATCTAATTACAGTAAGAAGTTATAAATTGTCATAACTTTCTACAAGAAGATGCAGGACAAGGAAAATGATTAATACTATTGTGGGGTTTGAGTTCTTCTTTGAAGGCAAATTAAGGATAATGAAACGTCCCACATTAGGATATAGTTGGGTTTTGTGAATTTTGGTGATCTTAATTCTAAATGATAAAAGTTCAAGGAAGTTGTCACAGTGGCAACTGTTTGAAAAAAATCTTCATAGTTACATATACATGTAAGTTATCCTACAGACAATACAATGCGGTCAAAGTCATACAAAGACAACTCTACAGGAAGAATCTCTAGATATCACTGTGACTTCTACTGTAACAGTTCTTACGTTTTGCAGAGCACAGACACAGTCAGGGTGCCCGGGCTCGCCGTGGAGTCTCGTACCAGGAAGCAGCCCTCTTTGTCCTACACAGTGTAGACAACATTTGTGTGATTTAACACCAAATCAGAATTGGTTTTGGGGTTAGACAGCAGAGAGAAGACATACATAAGAAGTACAGTACATTTACATGATTTAGTATAACAATCAATCAAATATCACATACCAATATTATTCTTTTGCCAATTTCTTTTTTAATTATCATAAGGAAAAAGACATTCACATAGCAAAAAAGTAAAGAATCTGATGTGCCTTAAGCAATGGACATGGAAACTACAGTGTACAATAGCACAGACACATTGAAAACAGAAGTTGATGTACAAGGACGAAAATTCTGACCTCTGATTTGAGTAAAGCCTCTGCACGCTGCCTGGACATGTCTTTACAGTACCATCTGTTGGGGACAGAACAACAGATTGTTTGTTACACTTTAAATACTGTTTTAACATGTGTCATGCTCACTCAGTGTAAGGACAACTTAAGAGTGGCACCTATCAGCTTACAATCAAACTGCACAACATTTACATTTCGGTAATACATTTGTAGTACACAGAATTACTTTGATGATGATAGTAAAACATAGAATGATAATAACTACATCACTCACCCTTCTCCTATGAGGCCCTTTTCAGTCTTCTCCTGAACATAGTTGCTTGGGATGAATCCTTGAGTCCTTCAAGGTAGAAAAAAAGAATCATTGTTTGAAAACACTAACATGCTGAGCCCAAAAACTGAAATAACACACATCAAACAAAAGTTGGGACTGACTCTTCCTTGTTGGGAACTTTTCGCCAGTGAATCCTAGAGTTGTTGGTGAAGACTCCCCATCACAAACAAACAAACAAACAAACAAACAAACAAACAAACAAACAAACACAGAGACTGACCCTTCCCTGTTGAGAGCCTTCCACCAGTGTGTCCGTGAGTCGTCAGTAATCGTGTACTCCTCCCCTTTCTTCAGCTGAAGGTCTCCTGGTTGGGACGGATCGTAATCATACACAGCCACAACCACTTTGGCAGGAGGGGGGGCAGGGAGCTGCAGAAAACAGCAGGTTTTGGGGTTCACCAGTCTTATCAACTCAGGCTATAGAGATTCCTTTGAATCAAAGCTGTGGCCCTTAAACATCTTCTTGCAAAGATAAATGGTATCAAAATAAACAGTATTCGGGCAAAAGGATAAGAATCTACATAATACATAAAAAGATATTAACAAAACTTCTATGCTGTACTTAGAGTTAGTTAGAAGGGCAGTCATTCCACTACCAAAAACCAACATGGATGCATTGTTTGGGTCTCGTTCAGTTTCTTTACTTTTCCTTTTAACAATTTCTAATAATAGGTTGCTACAACTTCCTGTTGAAATGTACTACAAAACACACAGAGCACAGTCATGTTCAACAACATTCGTCACAGTTCTACCGTCCTCCTACTTGCTAACTTCCACTCACCCTTTGGGGCTGCGAGTACTTGTAGTACCTGTACCTGTTCCTATAGTCCAACGCCATGACTCCAAACAGAATATTCCGACTAAATCTGAAAATGCTGTTTGTTTATATACTTAGCAGTGTGGGAACCGCATTGGGTATTGTACTACATGTACTATACACAATGCTATGATTAGAGAACCAGTCTTTCTGCTTCATTCCTAGCACAGTGAGTCTGTGACCCTTAATCCCACTTAGGGAGGCTGCAGGGTAAGACCTAGAAAAACCAGACTGTCCCTTTGTTATCACTCTGTAGTGTGTTAAATGCTTGGTTAGCCCTGACACTTCACACAAAACTATGTCAGTCTGATGGAACCTCATGTCACTCGTGTAAGTAAAACATTTTCCCTCTTATTCAAGAGTTACAGTGTTGTTTTCGTATATATAATGTGCAAAATGTTGATGTAGATGTAATGTGTCTGTAAACAGTAAGAACAAACTAAGACTTAACTTGTATTCAGGCAATGATCTTTAGTTGTTTGCCCCCTTTCCATTTCTTGACCAGTATACAAATAAACAGACAAAAAACCCCGTTCCACTCTATTGCAGAGCATAGGGGTGGCACCCGTCTCCATTTCTGTAGCCCTTGGGCCACACAGTTGTGCAAGCACTACAGCAAGGGGCTAGCCCGCTGGAAGTGTTGTGTGTTTGATTTTCCCATAACCTTTCTCATAGATGCTGAGTGCTAAGCAGAGAAAGCAGTTAATGCACCATTTTTAAAGTCTTTGGCTGGGGTTTGAACTCATGACCTCCCGGTTACAAAGTGAGCACTCTACTGACTGAGCTATTATAAACAGACACAGTCACAAACTTTAAAGTTTAACGAGACTGTTTGGCTCCTCACCTCTCTTTTAGCATGTGCCGGTACCGGGGGAGGGGGCAGCGGCATTTTGGTGATGTTTCTGGGAGTGGGAGGTCCGTTGTTTGTAGTGCTTTTGCCGTCTGTGGAAAACAAAGACAGTGATTTTATTTATTTTATTTATCTATTTAGACAATGATATAAATTTCACTTTACTATTTAAAGAGGAAATTCATACTTATTATTAAATTGGACTGATTTGTATCACCAGCGGGGCTGGAATTATACAAAAACTGCTCACTTTGTCATTGAATAAAAGATACATATTATTTTTTATTTGACATCCTCTCAGAAACACCGGATATGCCATTTCAAAAGGAACAATTTTCCAAATTTTCCAGGGGAGCATGCCCCCCCAACCAGCTAGGAAGCTCACTGGTCCCTCAAACAGTGGGAAGAACAATCATTCAAAATTCTGCATGCCCCCGGACCCTCTAGGAGGCTTGCGTCTCCCGTGCTCACTGGTCCCTCAGACAGTGGGAACAACGGGCCCATTCAAAATTCTGACGAACATGCAATCCACAGTAAAATTTCCCCTTACTCGTCATGTCTGTAGGTGACCTCTGGCTGAAGGCCTGTTTGCAGCCCGGCGCGTTCTTGTCGACCTGCTCACAGCAGGACCAGCGACTGCCCTGCCACACTCCGCAGTGGAACATCGGCAGGAGGCCCCGGTTGTTCTTACAGGCTGTGAGACAAGGACAAGTTTGTATGGTCATATCAATCAATTGATCGATCAATCCATCCATCCACCCCTCCATCCATCCGTCCATCCATCCATCCACCCCTCCATCCGTCCATCCATCCATCCATCCATCCATCCATCCATCCATCCATCCATCCATCCATCCATCCATCCATGACATATAATATGGTGAACAGCCCATCTAACCGTAAATATGTCATGTGTGTCTTGAAGGACCACAGGAAGAATAGCTACATTTGTTATAAGCTAAGTGTAGATCTCAATAAAGTCAAAGTCAAAACTCTGTCCTGCCACTTGCTACATAATATAATCGAAAACCAGATTTTGAAGATGTCTGCTATAGCATCAGTTACCATCGATGGTGACAGACGCCTGGTCCAGGTCATTGACCTTTTTTCTTTAGAACAGAAGAAGAAGAAATGGAGCAAAAACAACACTACTGCTGCACCAGTTTTGGAAGACACAGATTTAGATAAAACATGGACTGACCTTCCTGCATGAGGCTGACCCACTCCTCCTGTTCCTTGGCATCATTAGCCATGATGTACAAGTTCAGCGAGTCCTCATAACACACCTGTAAAATTAAGTGTAAAAACAAGATACTCTTGACCAAATCCCTACAGTTACACAACACTGTATTGTGCAGTAACAGATTTTTAATGCTAATTGCTTACTAGCCATAATTTGCGTCCTAAGAAATGTGCAAACCTAAATAACTTTTGAAGGATCATAAAAGTCAAAATAATATTTTTTTTCTGAAGCCATGATGTACAGGTTCAGCATGTCCTCATAACATACCTGTAAAATTAAGTGTACATATTGCAGGAAATAAGGTAACAGCTTACACATCATGTAACCAGAGGTAGTTTTTGACTCTTTTATGCATCATCACCATCATTGTTTACTGTTACACGGTATTGAAGGTCAATTAAGAAGTACTTTTTGTGGTATGTTGTAGTGGAAGACAAGGGACAAGGTAAGGTAAGGTAAGGTAAGGTACTAGAAGAACTTTGCACAACAATTGTAGTGGGTACAACGTAAGGCAGCATATACATTATATAGTTGATATTGCTAACATTTATCTAACACTAAACAGTACTAACAGCTCTAAGAGGTGACAGTTCTAACAGTTTTGGATAGTTGTGAGGTCATTTCCAGTTTTGTCTCAGTTTCCACAAAAAAACTTTTATTAGACTGAAAATGAAATGATAGAAGTCGACACAATAGATTTTTTACATACCTGGAAACAGTTGTCCTTTGGAAGTGATCCGTCATCAACCTTTTCTGCGACTTTGACAGAGGCCAGAAGGATTTCTCCCTTCAGCTTCCCTCGTTTCTGTTAATGAATGAAACAAAAACATCATCTAGATACCTTGGACCTAGTGCTGACAAAGAAGCCACGTGACAAGCTTCACTGGGTCAGTCTACTGAAGAAGACCAGAGTGACTGGTCGAAAGTTCTAGGTGAGAGAACTTATTTGTGTAGGATGAAAAATTTTAACTTTGAACAAAAAAAGAAAACAGTTTACAAACTAGAATGGTAGCATTTGTAAAGCAAATTCATAATGTCTACCTTCACAATTGATCTAGACATTTCTAATGTAAAAGTAATAATCCATACTTACACTTAAGTTTCCCTCATAATACGACAGTTTGTCCCTGGTCAGGACAAAGACACGGTCCTTAAAGTCCTGGAACCCTGTGGTCCTGGTGATCTTACCCTTCATCTGATTCCTCTTTGTCATTAAAGAAACCTGCAAAAAAAATGTATTTTTGTTAGTGGTTAGTAATGTTACATGAAGATTCACAACTTGAGCGTGCTGCAGTAATTCAACTCCAAAAACTGTTATCAAATAATTAAGATAGATCTGAAGAAGACTTTCTTACTTAAACAAATAAAAATTCGAAACCAGTATTATGCAAAATGCGAGACTGACAAGCCCTAGCATTGTATTGTTGTACATATAGGACAATAAGAAGCCTACCTTGATTTCATCTCTGCTTTCCATAGCTGCTGTTCAACTTGTACTAAGTTGTAGGCTTCTGTAACTCTGTGATGTTGGCAGTGAGAAGTGGAAGAACAATGGATACAGTCTGAAGGTGTGATGCTGTTGTCTACATGCAGCTGGGACTGGCCTCTTTTTTCCTTAAATCTAAAAATCTCAGGAGCTCCTACAAAAGGTACAAAAGAGAGAAAAAAATTGTGATTATCCAAAAAATTCCAGGTGCTCCTGATAGATATTTGAATAGATTCTCAGTCTCAAATTTAGAAATTGCTGATCAAATCATCATTTTTCAATGTTCTAGTTGAAAAGTTGGTGTCTTCCTTTGTACTACTTTGTAGCTTTGTCTAGACTACCAACAAAGTCACAGCATCACCTAGCAGGCTGAGCTGGTATTGCAAGCTGTTTCCTGATCTGAAATACTTGCAGTTGCACATCGATACCATGGTTTAGTGGGATCTTATCCACTAAAGTATTTACACAGAAAACATAATACAGTTCCCCTTAAAAGCTTAAAGATTAAAGTTCAACAGGAAGTTTTGATGATCTGGCGATCTGTGTGAGTCTTTAATAACAAAAGAATAATTGGATAGGACTTGAGGGCACATTCCAACTGGTCTAAAAGGTCATAGAGCAGATTGTTTGTTCATAATAACATTTGTAGCCAAAGGGAAGGTGAGATTTAATCCCAAAAACGTTTTGCAAAAAGTCAACTAAGGCAATAATGAATATTGTAATTCTTTGAGTTGCTATGATCGTGATAAAGTTTCCTCTAGAGCAATTCATGTAACAGAAGAAAGTTTAAGGTTATGTAATCTCTAGTCTCCTAGTCTCCAGACAAAGGTTCAATTTCAGCAAGGCCATTGTGTCCTAGATTCCTGTCGCTTGTTTTTGAAGCCTCTTCTGTGATTCTAATTTCCTCGTAGTGGCTACAATTTCTTTCAACTTCGTCGCTCTGATTATAAAAAAAGACATTGCGAAACTTGGGAATCTACTGAGGGAAACAAAATGAATCACAGAAAGGGCTATGAAAAGTAAAATAAAAAAAACAACAACAAAATAATCTCTGACTTAAATCTCTGTTTGGACAGCAATTAACCCAACATTCTCAGGGCTGGCTTACCTGAGGCGCATTCGTCTGTGGTATTGTGCTGAAAGGGAAGTAAGTGATCACCAACTGGCAAATACACACATTGGATTACAAAGTAAAGCAGATTACAGACAAAAGAAATTGTTTGGACTCCAGAGCACTTGAGCTCCCAGTAATCTTTTGCTCTTATTGTGGACATGCAAACAACTGAGGCAAAAGATTGTTTAAAAGCCTTGAAAGAAGGAATAGATCTAATCTTGAGGTACCATGATCACCAGGTACCATGTTGTCCTCCCGTCATTCTGCCTGTCAATCGTCCCCCTGACCCATGTGCTGTCAACCTACCCTGTTCGTACGCACTTCATCTAGTACACATAAACCCACCGAACACAATACCTACACACCTACACCCAGGAGGTTAGTTATGAGCTGAAAACTCTTCAGTAGAAAACTGTTAGACAGAAAGTTGTGACACCACCAGGAAACCTTGAAGGAAATGCATAGCTCTGTCTTAAACTATTGTTTAAGGAAGTAAAGTTGAAGTTATATTTGGGACTGATGAGTCATTTGAGTTGTGTTGTGAACCCTGGGACACTGGCAATCATGGTGGGTCCTTTGTTTGTATCAGTCTAACTCTAAAGGTCTATGGAAACTGTGTGAAAGAAAGCTACAACTTTGCAAAGTTTGCATAATTTATTTGCTTAGTTAAACTAACTAAATCTATGATTGTCATGATATTCGTCTAACAAGTTATCTGTATTAACTACTATAGCAGTGCTAACTGATTTAGTTACTCCTAGAATTATTAAATAATGTATAATCATCTGGAAAATAGTCATTAATATATTCAATATCTGATCTTTGATCTTTCGACAACTCCTGTCCGCCTACTTCCGGGTAAGTTTGGCGGGGCGAACTAGTTGGAAAGATCATTTCTTAAGCTACTTGGGAGGTTAAAGAAGTAAATACACCGTCTTACCTGTACTTTGGATTAAAAACCGGAACAGTGGAAGCTCTTGGGAACGATTAAAGGCCAGGGATGACTTCAGGAAGTGGCGAAGCTAAAACTACAAGTTACTGTGTCGAAATGTGCGGCCTAAAAAATGGACACCCCTTTCTCAGGACGGCACCTGATTGGTCAACTTTTTTGGAATGGATTATTTATGAATGGGGGACTTGAATTTACATGGTTCGCTGTCGATGTTTTGAATAGTTTTAAATAAAATAAGTAGTAACGTAACGTATCAGTAGTACATCAAAAATTACAATATAAAAGTTTTCCTCGTTTTTACAGGTGAATACTTGTGTTGAAATATTGATTCGTGATATGTTATTTCCATCACCCCTGTCATTGAAATCAACTCGCCCAATACTGTCATGGCGGACGCTTGAAAAAAATTACCGAAAGCGAAGAAAACGCAGCTCATCTAAGGCGATTTCCTTGATTTTACAGATGTTATAGCAGAATTGTCAACTTTCTTGTGACTTCTAGAAATTAAGGTACTTAATACAATACCTCCCTTTCTTACCTTTATTAGTAGAACGCAAATATAGGCGTGTAAGTTAACGTTATGTGTATCCATAATTTGGCCATGCATGGGGGTTTGTTTTGTTTTACCCTTTGTCATAAGAACGTGGCTATATACACTCCCGGAGTGTATATAAAATCTATTTGTCTTTTATATACACTCCCGGAGTGTATATAAAATCTATTTGTCTTTTATATACACTCCGGGAGTGTATATAAAATCTATTTGTCTTTTATATACACTCCGGGAGTGTATATAAAATCTATTTGTCTTTTATATACACTCCCGGTGTGTATATAAGATCTATTTGTCTTTTATATACACTCCCGGAAAGTTGATAGGGCATTCGAATGATCTGTCGCCGGTGCGAAGACCGCGCGATCGGCTGTGTTATCCGGAGTCACCAAAGGGACCGGGGCGAACCCCGGGTTGGTCTTGGTCTGATAAATGCACGCCAGACCGTGAGGTCGGCGCTTCTTCCGCATGTATTAGCTCTAGAATTACCACAGTTATCCATGTAGGATGTGACGATCAAAGGAACCATAACTGATTTAATGAGCCATTCGCAGTTTCACTGAGACAGTTTAAACTTGCACGTGCATGGCTTAAACTTTGAGACAAGCCTATGACTACTGGCAGGATCAACCAGGTAGCGAGGACGCCAGGG